TAAGCGCCTGGCAAAAGCTCACTGAGATTTTACTTATATACAAACACTAAAATGATTTGAAAAAAATAATTCTCATACGAATCGATCATTTGAAAACGGCAATGGGGACTAACCCAATAAAGAACATGGTAGACATGTGAAAGAACAAAAAAAAATCCTATACATTCATTTAAAAAAGTCGCTCAAAAAATATATTATACAAAGTTTCATTCTCTTTGGAGAGGCGGACCAGTAAAGATAAAGAACATGGGTTTACACATGTACTCCTGTTATTAACGCAAAAGCATCTAAGTTGGTAGGCAAACCTGTTGGTTGCTCATCTCCGGCGAATCTGTGGACAGGCGAAGCAGCGTGGTCGCCCAGTCGTGTGCTTGGATGAGTAAAAGCCGCGGATCTGGGATGGGCGAGGCGGCGGCACGACGTTGCAGCGGGAGAGGGCAGCACGCCTACTCGGCAGGCCTTCTCCTTCTCAGCACGGCCTTGCGGCGACGGCGTGGCTTCGCGACAGGGAGGGAGAACAGGCGCGGCGTGGGTGAAACGGAGTGAGGACGACGGCGAGGTCGACGACGCAGGCGCGAACGGCGAGGTCGATGGCGCATGCCGGTGCCGGTGCAGGCAGAGAGGATGATGGTGCGGCGGCGCGAGGGTAGGGAGAGAGAGGAGGCGTCGGCGTGGCGAGCGCGGGTATGCCATGGAGAGGCTGAAGTTGATCTGCGCCAACATGCTCTGCAGCTACATAAGCGATGCACGTATGGCCATCACTACACTGGACCTTGCAGACAAACATGGCTGCCCTAGGCTCAGGGAGGCGTGCAAGAAGTTCCTCATGGACCACTTCAGTTTGGATGGGGCAAAGGCGTTGCTATCTCTGTTCTATTCTAAGTGCTACTACTGCATAATTTTCTTTTGGCGTTTTATTATCAATTCTATATATGCACGTAGCAGCATGCACCTCCTATCCCACTTTGAGACATTTTGTAATCAGTTGCTTTATAATATATATCAATGTTATGTTCGACAAGGTGGCTGCTTGATCTATTTTATCTTGTATTTATTAGTGCTAGTATACCTGATGTGATGTTAACTTTACCAGCATGATAGGTAGCTGTTCCTCTGCAAAGCAAAAGCTCATACTTCTGTGCGATTTGCTTTTTTAATTACAACATACATGCAAATAAATGTAAACGAACTTAATGCTACACCCAAAAAATGCATTTCCAGTTTGTCATTTTGCATGCCGACAAAGAGAGGGAAAATACAGTAGGATCTGGGAATAAGCAACAATCTTGAAATCTTGGCTCTATTTTTGACCTCATCATGCCATCACTCAAAATTCACTCCCTAGTCTGGAAAACCTTTATCTATCCAAAAACACAACAAAAAAAAGTCGAAGAGTAGACGTGCAATAGCAGAGCCACAACATTCTTTCCGCCCTTGGTGCCAAGCCTAAAAGGTCAGATGATGTCTGTTAGGCGAATTAAGCTCATATAGGATCTATATTTTCAAGATTTTTGTCACCTCAATGTATCACATGAGTTCAGTGCAAAAAAGATGGCGAAGTAAGCTCATATATAGGCGATTAAGATTTTTATCACCTCAAAATTAACAAAATGTTCCTTTATAAAAAAAATATAGGATCTATATTTATATTTATATAAGAAATGCCATGAGTGCAATGCTACAGCATAATTGCTATGCCATTAAATTCCAAAAGTCAAATGAAATGTCCAGGCAGAGACACCGGCACTTGTTAGGATAAGGAAATATACAAAGAAGGTTTAACAGGCTGCATAATTACAAGTGGCATTGCAATTGTTTGGAAAATAAGGCCAAGATGTGAGTTGACTAAAAACAATGACCAACGACCATTGGGAACTAAAAGTGACCAAAGAAAATACAAATAATACATCCTACATAGATTATTTAGCTCATCTCCCATTCGGCCAAGACTCGAGTTTCAACTTTGGAAGTGCATTAGGATGTCAACACACAGGAATGACCGGTAAATCATAAAACAATAACAGATAAAGTATATGGCTGCTAGGTTATATACTTATATGTGATCACTAATCAAGGTGCATTTGATTAGCTTGATAAATAAGAAAAAAAAGTTACTATAGGTTCACCTTTGAAACAGGCGACAAAAGAAATCCATGGATAAGGAAGTTGGCATCCTTGCTTCCATGTTACTCCCACTTTGGATGAACACCTAAGAAATATCTTGATTATCAATTAATCATTGCGCTAGGTCTGTTAGTTTTGGTATTCAACATCAAAAGAAGTATTCTTATTACTTTATTTCTCTGCAAGCATTCAAGAAACTGTTTGTTGTAAATGAGACTATATGGAATAGGAAGAGTTTTAATTGTATTTAACAATGCATCATTAGCAAGCCATCCAGTGCATGGACATACTCATTTAATCTTCCGACTATTTAATGTTCAGGAACTTTTACCAAGCAAATAATCCAGCTATGTAATCAAAACCATAAAAAATACTGATTGGAAGGGAAGAATGCCACAATCCTACTCCTATCCATGTGGCATACACATTGGCCCAGCGTTATAGTACAAATAATGTTGAAGGGCAGAATGTTCTGGAGTTACCAAAAATGGGACACACCTTTGTATATGTTATACTGTAGCGACTTGGAAACTTCTGTCTTCATTTTTTTCCTTGAGACCTCAAGGGTTCTTGTTGCTAGGGAAAATATCGAGTTGGGGAAACGAATCTACAGATGTAAGACACCACAAAAATTAAGTGTGCCGGTTTGAACAGATCTGCCCCTAAGTAAATTGGAACACCCACCAAATCACCCCCCTATGTCCACACGAATAAACGTATATATCATCTTCTGAACCACAGGCAATAAATAACAGAGAAGAACAAAAGAAATCTGAGCACTGCAGGTTCTATAACTAATGGTGTCACTAACTGTTTTTTTGGCAATAAACAGTAAAGAATGTGGTTCAATTTGAAATATGGTTTTCTTAATTTTGTAGTGAATGTATGCATAGCTACACCAGTTTTCCCTATAGACATAATTGAATAAATAGTGTTCAGACCAACAATTCACACAATGGTAACTGCATACATGATAATCTACAAAAAAAATCATCTTTTCTTCAATTGTACACCTGTTATTACTAAGCAGTACTATTTTTGAGTTGGACCTATAAAAGAAAAGAAGAATGGTAAAAATGAAGTTGTGGAGCACTAAACCTGCAACAGCGAATCAATTTTCCCATCGCCTAAGTATTCTATAGAATGATGATTTCAAAAATTTGAGTGCCATGTACATAATGGTGCCCACTCTAGCAACAACATTCCTATATATAAAATATATTGGTAAGGCTCAGAATTACCTACAGGGTTCAGCAGGAAAATAAATTTACACATTTGTATAGGGAGTGGCCCTTATTGTTTACCTTGAAACCTACAACATGTCAACCGAAAAAAATGACATTGTTGGTCCTTTGTTGGGCCATGTCCATAAATCGTTCAACATTGTAGGTGTTCGTGTGTTAATTTCATAAGCAGTTGCTGCGTCTCTTTATATATAAACCAAGAATCTAATATTAGTAAGGCATACTACAATTAATACAGCCAACTATGAACAAACAGAGTGGAAATCCAATGCATACCTGCCTCAGTCTTGAGTCAGCCTTGGCGTCATTTGCTGGAAACACAGGTGCGTGGCTGAAAAGGAAACACTAGCATAAGAGAAATTGCAGAATCGTGGAGTGGCGGAAGAAAGGGGATTAGGGAGAGGATATGTGGATCCAACTTGTCACCGAAAGATTCGCCAAGTCGCTAGCTGATGTGGCATGAGGACGCACGCCATCCCCATCCGGAGGGGCGTCGGCCGTACAACGACTCTGCGGGCCGAGATCGAGTGGCGGCGAATCCCGTGTAGGGAACCAAGAGGAAAGGAGCAATTAAAGAACAAAACAAAACCCTGAAATCATATAAGATCATACAAAACATCAGACGAGAGGAAGGATTGGGAGGGGAGCTATGGGGAGGGGAGAGTTGATCGGTACCATGGAAGAGAGTTGAGGGGGAGGAGAGGCGCTGGGGGAGGGCAACGGGTGGTGAAGTCGTCGTGGCTGCCACAGGTCGCGTTCATTGCGAAGGGAGGAGCCGCCGCCGGAGGGAAGGGTGCTCGTCGCGGAGAGAAGCTGCCTCCAGAGAGAAGGAGCGGTAGCCAGAGAGCGTGGTCGTCACGGGAAGGAATGGTCGATGGATCCGGTCGCGGTCGTCGCGGGTTGGATGCGACGACAGAGCAGGCGCGCACGGCGAGGATGACGGCGCGGCCGCATGGGGGAGAGAGCGGGATCTCGCGAAGGGGAGCACACGCGCGGCGGAGGGGGAGCGAGCGGGATCTTGCGATGAGAAGCAGAGCGGGATCTCGAGCGAGCGTGCGAAGCGGAGGAAGTAGAGCGACGAGGCGGGCTCGCATGCAGTCGGTCCCACATGCCGGTGCCTTTCATTGGAGTCGCGGGAGGATATCACATGGACGGAAGGGAGGAGCGACCCCAAACAAAAGTCGCACTAAAAAATTGTCTTACTTTTGTTTTGTTTAGTTGTAGGAAATATGCCTACAACAGGAGTGTATATCCTTCCTTAGAGTGGAGACTAGGGTGGCAGACAGGCAGTGTATCTAATGATACCGAAGGAAATCCTGTGTGCTGGAGCTTAATTGCATCCAATCTCATCCTATTTGCTTTCCACATTTATGTTTGTGAGCATTGCTCTTGTGCACCAATGAGTATTTACTTTAATTTCACCCATGAGCATTATTTGCTCTTGCGCTTAGTTGGTGGCCCTATAGTCTTATGGCTTGACAAGCTCTACCACTAAACCATATATAAAAACTGTAAAGAACGCTGAAATTAAAGATATCAAATAAAAATTTTCATTCACCTTGAGCCAATCATTTCTCTTTCGTACACCAAATTTTACGTACAATAATAATAATGTTTAAATTTGTTCCTAGACTAGAGGGAACTCAGTATAACCAAGTTCTTCTCATCATGCCTGTTGTTCATCAACCAAACAGACAGCTCACTGCTAAACTTCTCCATGACCGGCTTCGGCAAGAGCATGGACACAATGGTGGAGTGCTGACCATCCTGGTTCTTGCACCTCATGTGGTCGCTTCCCAGCTTCGAAGTAAGGTCACCCGCCAGTGGTATCCCACCGCCCACCAGCTCGGCCCACCCAAACTGCGTCACATTCGTGGCGATCCACTTCGTGTCAGAGACCTCGTAGATCCTGTCCATCATCGGAGGCGGCCACTGGCGCGTCGACGCGATCGTCTCCACCATCGACTCCATGCGTTCCTTGGTCACGCTGAGCTTGGTCTTGCGCACGAGCTCGACCGTGTGCACCAGCGGCTGGCTGCAGAGCTCGCCGGCGGTGGCCTCCGCTATGGGAGACACGTGCGCGTTCCCGTAGTAGCCCCGCGGGATGAGCGTGTGATGGTTCCACTTCCCGCGCGCGTTCATGGTGACCATGAGGCGAACGCGCTGGTGGGACTCGTAGCCCAGCGCTGTTGTGCGGCATCGCCACATGACCGCGGTTAGCAGCTCGAAGGACGTAGCGGAGGTGGCGGCAAGCTGGTACCCACTGAGGTGGCCTCGTAGGGTTGCGATCTCCCTCGGCCCGAAGAGGAAGTACTGGACTACCATGTCGTCCATTGGAGTTGACAGCATCACGTCGTCAGAATTGTTGTTGGAATCTGATGACGAGCCAGTCGAATGCGTGGTGATGAGAGATGATGACGACTTGTGTCGTCGTGTTAGAAGCTCTCTTCTCCATACGGGCAAAACTGTGGGCACTTTTTCACCGCGAGTTAGTTCAGCAACGCATCTGAAGAATTGAACCATACCGAATCCATCTGCGATGGTATGGCACATGTGGAATCCGATAACAAATCCGCCACATTTGAGCCTCGTCACCTATAAAATTATGCATATACAAAACGAACAATGTCAGTCACCTATATAGATAAAGGAATTAAAGGTAGCATAAAAGAAACAGAGAGAATTTCTATATATTCTAGGAGAGCGAGGCACGTGAAAGGAGGACGACGCTGTCTACCTGCATGAGGACCAATGGCTTGCCAACCACGGCTCTTGTTTCCCCTGCATTGCACAGCAGTTCCTCGACACACGGGTACGGCGGCAGCAGAGGCTTGCCCAGCTCCTCCAGCCGCACGTTCGCATCGGCCTCCACAAACACCACCCCCTGAGCCGTGCAGTCCACCACCAGCTTCCCACCGGCGGCCTCCCGGAGCCGCCCGGCGATGGGGTAGTAGTACACCAGCGCCTCCGCGAGCGCCGCCTTGATGGCCTTCGCTGGATCATCTGGCCGTCTGTGGCTGGTGTAGCCATGGCGGCTGCGGAAGAAGGCGATCACCGTCTCGTAGTACCGCAGCGTCCGCTGGTCGTCCAGGTCAGAGAGGGCTTTCGTCTCGGATGGCGTCGGCCGTGCCGGTGACACCAGCTCCGGCTGCATGCGACGCGCCTTGAAGGACACCATATGGTACTCGTGTCTACTGTCTAGCTAGCGTGGGTATGGTGGGAGTGCGTATGTGATGTGGATGGAGATGGAGATGGAGATGGAGTGGGCGAGTGGCTTTCACAACTGTGCGATGTGTTGCAGGTGTATATGCTGCTGTACTATCTCTCTATATATAAGTACTAACACAAAATTAACAGGGCGTCACACGAAAAAAGGAATGCTATGAAGAACCTTTGAGTCACTAATAGTAGTAGACATTGCAACCGTGGTTCGTGGTCCTGGGTATATATAATGCACGTCATGGAGGTAGCCGTAAGTCTATAGATAGATAGATAGATAGGTAGGTAGATATACCTTGACAATAAGGATTATTTGGAACAGTGTCATTACAATTTTTAAAGTTTCGAGAAGTATCATTACTATTCACCTATTCTGAATCTTACATTATATTTCTTTTTCCTTTTGAAATATGCCACGACATACGTCCGGAGAGGCTTTAGGCCCAACTACAAGAGTACACGCATCACCGTATTCTTATATGGACAAAACTGCCCCTCCACCTTCATCTCTCTATGTGTCGCTGACTGTGGACCCCATAGTCATCTCCTTCCTTTCCCATCATCTTCTCCACGCACGCTGGTGTTCGACTCACGGGAGGACGTCGAGGAGTACCTCGCCGCGACCAAATGTAGTCTCGCGAGCGCGTCAGGCTCGTGTGCCGAGGCCACACTGTAGACTGCCATGGCGTAGCTCTAGGACGAGTTCCGCTTGGCCTTGCATGTGCTAGCACCGCCGCCTCCTTGCACGAGATCGCAAGCGCACAGCTGCCGCCAGCGGCCTAGCGCGCGCTAGAAGCACAGGGTCAACAGCGGCGCAGGTAGTTGGGGAGAAGAGGACGGGGATGGAAAGAGGAAGAAGGAAGGTGATGACAGTGGGCTCCACGCGTCAGTGACACGTATAGAGATGAATGAAGGTGGAGGGATAGTTTTGTCCATACCAAAATATGGTGATGTCGTTTACGCCTGCAGTTGGGCCAAGGCCTCTCTGGACGTATACCTTGGCATATTTCAAAAGGAGGAAGAATTATAATGTTAACATTCAGAATAGGTGAATAGGGTACTTCTCAAAACTTTAAAAATTGTTATGGCACCAACCCAAATGACCATAATAATAAATATGCAAAATTTCTCTCTGTCGATTTTTTTTTCTACCGGAATGTACAGAGTGGTCCATGGTTCGTGGTCCTGGGTATGTGTGTTGCACGTCATGGAGGCAGTTGTAACTTGTAAGTAAGACATAAATTGCTGAAGAAATCCGGCAGACCTTAATTGAAACCTCATCTTCTCCCGCCAGCTAATAATTTCACTGTATCCGTGTTGTCGTGAATATCAGCTCTGAGGCTGGGCCAATACATCATGCATGCACTGATCAAGACTAGGCCATGTTTGGTTACTGCAGTGACTCTTAGAATTCCTATCACATCGAATGTTTGGACACATGTATAGAGTATTAAATATAGATTAATTACGAAACTAATTGCACAACTTGCGACTAATTTGCGAGACGAATCTTTTAAGCCTAATTAGTCCATGATTTGACAACGTGGTGCTACAGTAAACATATGCTAATGATAGATTAATTAGGCTTAAAAAAATCATCTCGCAAATTAGCCTCCATCTATGTAATTAGTTTTATAATTAATCTATATTTAATGCTTTTTATTAGTATCTAAACATTCGATATGACATGAATTTTAAGAGCGACTAAAGAACCAAACGCCCCCTAGATGTGCGCATGCTCCTATATGAGTATATGACACATCTACTGTATGTACATTGAATGACCGCCTTGCCAGAAATCAAATGCATGCACCTACTGGCCACGTTCGTCTCGCTGAAAAAACAAGCTGAAACACTGTTTCGATTGATTAGTTATGAGAGGAAAATACTGAAAAAATAAGCTAAAAAATACGGATTATAAAACAAGCGAACAGGACCAGAAAAGAACCAGGACACTACTACAAGACATTGAATGTGTCCTTTGCTCTCAAAACCTGTTTCATCACTGGCATAGGTATCTCGATCTGATTAAGCTGGAGCACCAGCAGTAGTACGTCGTCCCCACCCCATGCACTCGGACCGCTCACATATATATATATATATATATATATATATATATATATATATATATATATATATATATATATATATATATATATATATATATATATATATATATATATATGGCACAATAGTAAAGAGAGATGGCTCACTCGTTTCTAATCCATGTGATATTCAATGCGAGACACCAGCCAGCCCATCTTGCATTACCATCAAGACGCAACAAGTACTTGTACAGTTCGGCTGCCTCGCAGTAATGTGTAGAAGACCTCCTCGATCAGATCCACCGCCCTAACTAGCTACTCGTGTGCCTTGGATAGTTGAATTCTGTCCGATGCACGCATCATTGATATTGCACCTACTACCTACTAGCTTGCATTGCAATTTCATGCCCATCTGTGTACAAGTACAATGCATGGACACACGGACCCGGCACCACAGAAACGCATTAACGGCAAAGGCGAATGTGACAGCATCTTCAGACGAATCACTAATGGCACTTCAGCAGCTCAAGTGGACCTTCCAAAAAAATAGATTGCACGAATCTTAAAGCAACCTGGTAATTAAATTTAATTAATTTTGTAATGGGCAATGCTTGGGCCCAGCCTCATGCATACCCAATCCAACCCCAGCCCCATCAGCACACGTAATGGTTTTTGTCCAATAGTTCTGATTTCTCAACCCAAATTGGCTATTGCGTTTCATTTTTCCTTCGCCAGCCACATTGTATATGTGCAGACGGACGGCGATGGCGACGCCACCCAGCAGGGACAGAGGCGTTGTGCCATGCCTCATCTATGGTGATCTGTTATCAGGGGATCGGGGACACACACACACACTTTACCCGCCACCCCTCATAGACTGCAATAGTGATGGTGGACCTGACGAACCTGACGAGGAACTGGAGTTCCATCTCGACTTTACTGATGATAGCAGCTCAGAGAATGAAAACATGTCGTTGTGTCCAAACCCAGGATCAAAGGAAAAACATCTCCATGCACTATCCCAGATATGGACATTCGGTTCAAAAACCCCTTTCACTGCCGGATGCCGGTTTGTAGTCCCAACCGACAGCGAAGGTTGAATCAAGAGTGTCGGTTCTTAGGTCAAGCCAACAGTGTTGAGCAAGCCTACACTGTCGGTTCATGGCTCAAACCGATAGTGTTGTCGTAACCATCACTGTCGGTTTATGGCTCAAGCCGGCACTGTTGAGCAAGCCAACACTGTCGGTTTGTTGCTAACCGGCAGTGATGGTTACGACAACAATGTCGGTTTGTTGCTAACCGACAGTGAGGGTCCGTTCGTATTTTATTGTTTTATAATTTATTTTAATTTACATTTTTCGTGGAATCGGGTTTCGCTTTATATATGCTACATAGACGACATGTCCATCAATATGAAACATTACAAATGTTACGGTTACAATTCAAATGTTCTTATCCAGATCTTGATTCCTCAAAATAAAAAAAAATGTTCTCGGACTTCACAGATTGTGCAATGCTTTTCGGACTTCTTACAATAATCTGGCGAGCCGCTCTGGGCCATACTGGTCCTTGTACTTCACGGATTGTGCAATGAAAAATACTCCATCTTTTTCCTATACCTCGGCTAAGATAAATTTTGCCAGCTCCGATTGCAGTGCGACGATCTCCATGTCTAACAGTCTTTCGTGGTTATATTTCTTGCGTTGTCGTTTAAAAAAAGATGATATCCAAAGAGGAATAGTAAATCATTTTGTTGAATTATTAACAGACATAAATGAAATGGGGATTATACACACTAACTTATCGGCTTCTTCCGATTTTCCGCCGATGTAGCAAAGCATTGCCCACATTACATAAAACCCGCATTCATTGTTTCCCACCGGTTGTGATAGATACTTTTCCTCCATTTCGACAACCTTGAATGGGACCTGTGTCCCACCGATATGTCTTCTTCGGACACTGAGCAACATTAAAGGGAAAAACATTAGAAAGCGGTATGTGTGATTAGAAAATAATATGTTATTAGGATCGCTTACTAATTCAGCACTGCCACCAGTGCATCCAGATGATGAAATGGTTTTTTCT